GCTCTTTATCCCCCATTCCAAGGAGTCCTCTCTAGGGTCATTTTCATAGAATCTAATGACGATCCAAAGAGTAAGAAGGTTTACGGCTTCTCTTAGAGTTAGAAAGGAAAGTGGTTCAGCCAATGAAGGTTATATAACAGAAGCTACATTAGGTTTCCATACCAACTCCCAAATACCTCCCCCCATTCCAGTAGTCTCTCCCTTATACTCTCTCCTTGTATCCCTCCACCCAGACTGCTCTCTCTACTTTGATCTCCACACATCTCTAGTCTATCCAGAAAATCTATTCTATTTCTTCTTTCAGGGGAGATCTATATGTCCCCACTTGAGCCCTCCTTGTTAAGTAACCTCTCTAGGTCTGTGGATTGTAGCATGATTATCCTTTACTTTACAGCTAATATCCACTTATACATAAGTTCATACCATGTTTGTCTTTTTGGATCTTGGTTACCTCGTTTAGGATTTTTTTTATAGTTCTATCCATTTGTCTGCAAGTTTTATGATGTCTTTATTTTAACTGAATAATATTCCATTGTGTAAATGTACCACATTTTCTTTATCCATTCTTTACTTAAGGGACATCTAGATTGTTTCTCATTTCTGACTATTAAGAATATAGCCTTTAATCCCAGCATTCGGGAGGAAGAGGCAGATGGATCTCTGTGAGTTCAAGGCCAGCCTGGGCTACAGAATGAGTTCCAGGACAGACACACACACACACACACACACACACACACACACACACACACACACACACACACACATACACACACACAAAGAATATAGTTGCTATGAACATAGCTGAGCAGTGTCCTTGTGGTAGGATGGAGCATCCTTTGGGTATGTGCCCAAGAGTGGTATAGCAGCTTCTTGATGTAGATCTATTCCCAATTTTCTGAGGAACTGCCATTTTGATTTCCATATTGGCTATTCAAGTTTATAAAGTTATTTCCCACACAGGAACCAGAGTGATGGAGTTAAAGTGTTGCTCAGCTCATGCCATTCTGAGGTTTAAGAGTTTTTCAGTGACTTGAAATTCTTAGACCTGCTCTTACTATCCCAAATGGTATTTTGTTGTTTTGTTGTCTAGTGCAGGCTGGCCACCAATTCATGACAGTTTTTTACCCCAGCTTCTGAGTGCTGGGGATATATGCTATGTATTTCTCTGACTAGTTAAAAGTTCGAGTCAGATCTGAAGAGCTAGGTTCACTGCTTCTTGTAGAATTAGAGGGGAAAGTGCTTTAGCCAAAGAGAGCTATACAGCAGAGGCCGCAGAGACTGAGGACATTTGTTCATGTCCATTGTGCCATTCATTTGTGAGCATTGATATGAAAGATTAAAACACAAAAACCAAACAAATGTGGGGTAATGGTAACCAAATTTGGCTGCTTATCAGAAGAGCTTACTACAGCTTACTGGACAACACCTGAGTTACTCTGAATCTTGTGGATGGAGATGGAGCCTAGAAAGTGGAATTTTAAATAGAAATGATTTAATGCAGTAATTTGTAATCCACAGCTCTAGGGGGTTTCACAGAAGGAGGAACTCTCAACTTGGCATCATGTGGATCTTCACACTACAGGGATTATTTCCTAGTATGTGTATTCAGAATTGTTTGTTTGTTTGTTTTTGAGACAGGGTTTCTCTGTGTAGTTTTGGTGCCTGTCCTGGATCTTGCTCTGTAGACCAGGATGGCCTCAAACTCAGAGAGATCTGCCTGGCTCTACCTCCCAAGTGCTGGGATTAAAAGCGTGTGCCACTACCATCAGGCATGCATTCAGAATTTTTTATTTTATTTATTTTTTTTAATTGATTTTTCTGTTTTTTTTTTTTTTTTTTTTTTCTTCGAGACAGGCTTTCTCTGTGTAGCTTTGTGCCTTTCATGGAACTCACTCCGTAGCCGAGGCTGGCCTCAAACTCACAGAGATCCACCTGCCTCTGCCTCCCGAGTGCTGGGATTAAAAGCGTGTGCCACCGCTGCCTGGCATGCATTCAGAATTTTTTAAAGTTTAAGGACTTTTCTGTCACTTGCCTATACCAATGGATGATAATATAAATTGCTTGCATCTTACATTGCTAACTTTGTCCTGTGGCAAAGGCATCTAGCTAATATCTAGCACTAGAAAAGTTTCAAACTGGTGTTAGTGACTATATAGATCAGTGAATATAGCAAGTTTGTCTAAATGTAGCCACTGTTGATTTAGAGGAAATTAGTTTATACACTAAAACCTCCCGACTCATGAAGTTGACCTAAGATGGTTTAGTAATGAACTTGTGTTAATACTTGTATGTTTGAAAAGCAATCACTGATGGGTGTGGTGGTTCACACCTTTAATCCCAGCACTCCGGAGGCAGAGGCAAGAGGATCTCTGTGAGTTCAATGTCAGCCTGGTCTACAGAGTGAGTTCCAGGATAGTCTCCAAAGCTACATAAGTAACCCTGTCTTACAAAGCAAAAAAAAATAAATAAAAAATAAAAAAATAAAAAAAGAAAGAAAGAAGAACAATCACACAAGTCAGTATATTTACAGTGACATTAGGAGTCAGCAATTATTTTATAAAATTTATTTATATGTTTTTGTCAAAGCATGTTGCTGTACAAGCACAGTAAGCTAGTTCCTGGGAACCAATGGTTGTGGTAATATTGTGTTCCCCAATATATTGTGCCTCCTGATAAACTTATCTGGGGTCAGAGAACAGAACAGCCACTAGATAGACTTAGAGGCCAGAATATGGTGGCACTCACACCTTTAATCCTATACTTGGGAGGCAGAGATCCATCTGGATCTCTGTGAGTTTAAAACCACACTGGAAACAGCCAGGCATGGTGATTCACACCTTTAGTCCCAGGAAGTGACCCTTTAATCCCAGGAAGTGATGGCAGAAAGCAGAAAGGTATATGAGGCGTGAGGACCAGGAACTAGGGCTGGTTAAGCTTTTAGACTTTTGAGCAGCAGATCAGCTGAGATCTATTTGGATGAGGACACAGAGGCTTCCAGTCTGAGGAAACAGGATCAGCTGAGGAATTGGCGAGATGAGGTAGCTGTGGCTTGTTCTGTTTCTCTGATCATTCAGCGTTCACCCCAATACTTGGCTCTTGGTTTGTTTTTATTAATAAGAACTTTTAAGATTCATGCTACAAATGATAGAAAATAACCAAGTCCTATAAGGATAGTTGTCCATTGGCCAGTACACATGAAGTATAGCATGTGCCTGTACTCACACATCAGACACACAATCAGACACACTTTTCTCTCTTTCATGTACACACATACACAACATACACACAAATGCACACACATCACACACATAAACACACAGCACAGACACAAATGAACATATACACTCAAACACACACAAACACAAATACACACATATATAAATCCTCACACAAACATAAATATACACATACATGTGCACAAAATCATACACCCACAAAGAAACTTTCAAAAATAGTATTAGCATTTTTAAAAACACTTAATGTATGTATGGTGAATAAATTTACACAGGATTGAATTTTTTGTTCCATTTGTTATTCTTTATTTGTGTGATATAACAGCATGTTCTGAAAAGTTCTGACCTCATAGAATGAGTCTGTTCTGGTAGCCAAAGTAGAAATATTTGCAAAGTGTGATACTTGCAATACTTTGGTTACTATGAGGGGAGGATGCATAAAATATTTTTTCATTTAATATTAGTGGTTTAGAGGAATCATTTTGAATCTTTATCAGTAACATAAAAGGCCATGAGTGTTGGAGATGCTCAAATTTTAAAGACTCTTGAGCGTTAAGTAATAAAAAACTGTAATATCTCAATGTAATGAAAAGAGGCCATGTTTTGATTTGGTTTGGTTATTTGACACATTCTTTCTATGTAGCCCTGACTGTCCTGGAAATTGCCATGTAGACAAGACTGGCCTTGAACTCACAGGCAGGTCCTCCTGTCTCTCATTCCCAAGTGCTGGGAATGAAGGCTTACACCAGCACACCTGACCTTTGTTTTAGGTTCTTTGAAAGAGTCTCAATATGTATTCTTGGTGGGCCTTGTAGTTGCTGAGTCGAGCAGGCTGGCTTCAAGTTCAGAGTTCTGCTTGCTTCTGACTGCAGATCCCTGAGATTAAAACGCATGCAACCACACCTGGCTGAGATTTTTTTTTATATGACCACTAACTGCCAGTGTTGGGTGTGCTTTGAAAAAGTTGAATAACATATGTGACCAAAATTTTGGGCCAGACTTATTTTGTAAACTGGTCTTTAGTAGGCCAGAGTGGCCTTGAATTCCATATTTACCTGAGGATGGCCTTGTCTTGATGATTTATCTATAAACAAGCCAAGGTCCAGCTTATGATATAACATGTAAAATGTGGAAATGTTGCTCTTTTATTCATTCTGCATAGATTTTGATTCAGAGTTGAAGAATAATCTTGTTTTTCATTCAGATATCTGTGATTTCTATTTGCTTTTTGTTTTTTTTTTTTTGGCCCAAGTGCACACAAATTAGTTCTAAATCATCATTTCTACTCAGCTTTCCTTTTAAAAAGCTTATTTGCTTTTTCAATTATGATTTCTTTACATATTTTAGATTTTCCATTATTCTAGATAATTTTGTTTTGGGAGTGAAAGCCAGGCAGAGCTCATGGTAGGCAGTTGCTCTACTCCAGAGCTGCTCCCTTCCTTAGAAATACTTCGATGTTTGGAAATACTTTTTCTTTGGTATGGTTTCAGTAATAGATCAAGCCCTTTGCTTCATAAATCTTTTGTATTAGTTTTTTGTTCATCTGTGGGTTTTCCCACTGTGGGATAATTGTGCTGTTAGATGACTTCATTTCTGAGTTTTTAAAGCATTTTTGTTTCATATATGATATCTTTGAATAAAGACTCAAGCTTTTCTTGTGGATAATATTGAGACTGCATGTATGGAATTGTCTTTCTTTTTGTCACAAAGGCTAATATATGTCTTAGCTAAATTATATTTACCCTGTTTATAAATTTTTAATTAATGAATTAATCAATATATTTCAGCTAGTTTTGCTGGGTAGCTTCTCTGGAGTTCATCTATATAGACCAGACTGTTCTCACACTTAGTAATACTGCTACCTTCCAAGAGCTGAGATTACAGGTATGTGCCCAATAAAATTTAATTTATTTTCCAGTTGTTTTTTCCCCCTAATGTATGTCTAAATTAATGATTGTGTATTGCACCAAATGTGCAATCTGCTAACAAATGTTGCTTACAAGTAGATAATCGTTGAGATGGACATTTCCTATTCTTTATTTGGAAGTTAGGATTTTTGAGTGTAGATTACTTAAATGCAGGATACATTTTCAATTCTACAGAAGTATGGAAACATGTGTTTATGTTTAGTGAAGTTACTATTACTTTTGTATAACAGTAACAATGTACCAGGAATGTCCAGACAAATATCAAGTAAGGAATGAAGTTTCCTGCAGTCCAAGTCTATGTTCTTTTAGGCTGCTGAGAACATGTGCTCCTTGCTGGAAAAGCTGTTTTCTGGTTTCAGAAGCATTCATTTACTTTATAGGTGCTAGGGTGGTATTATATCATGTTACAGTTGCTTTTCTTCTACCTAGGCTCATAACTGACCAAGATTAGTTGAGAAATTCAGTGTGATCAACTCACAGACACTTAGGTTTAGGTTTGTTAGCCATACATTAGCCACCCTTTATTATCTGAGAATTTCACACATGAATATAATGTATCTTGATCAAAACCACCCCCTATTTCCTCCTCTTCTATACCCCTCCCTCTTTTTGATTCCCCGTCTCTACTTCGTGGGCTAATTTTAGACTCACTGAGTTCACTTAGTGATTGGGGAGGAAAGAGTATTTGGCTTCCAGGTCCAGTTCACAGTCCATCATGCAGGGAAGGCAGTCAGAAACTCAAGGTAGAAGAAGCCTAGAGGTAGGAACTGAAATAGAGACCCTGAAGGAATGCTGCTTACTGGCTTGTTCTTCCTGGCTTATTCAGTTTTCTTTCTTTTTTCTTTTCTTTCCTTTTTCAATTGAAAATAGATTTCCACACAATCTATTTTCATTATGATTTCCCCTTCCCCAGCTCCTCCCAGATCTTCCGCTCCCATCCTAATCCACATCCCTTCTTTCTCTCTCTCTTTAGAAAATAAACAGTCATCTAGAAATTCTATTTGCTTTCTTATATACCATTGTACCACCTGCCCAGGAATAATACAGCTCCACAGTGGACTGGACCCTCCCCCATAAGTCATTAATAAAAAAAAAAAAAACCTGATAGTTGAAGGTCCTCCTCCCAAATATTCTTGTCTTGTGTCATGTTGAGGAAAAGCAAAGCAAGACAAGGATCATGACATTAGAGAAACCATGGGCTGTGTAGTGAGATTCTGTCTGAAAATAAAGTCAAATAAAGTAACAAAATATTTAAACAAACAAGAAAATAAATAAATAAACCCTCATACTTTATTCATCTTTTAGTATTAATCTATTCAAATAATTTGAACCTCTTTCTAAGACTTTGAAAGACTTGGTAATGAAAGCACCTAGTAGTGTTTTCCTTTCTTAAGTTTGGCTTTTAACCAATTTGATGATTTTGTTCAAAGGTATAAAACAGGGAAATTTTGGATGTGGATAGGACTTGATCCAGGTGTCATATACTTTGATCTTTATTTCTGAGGCAAATCTCAGGATGACACTTGAGTAACACCCCAAGTTGTCCTCTGGCCCCCTCATAAACATTGCACCCCATACACACATGTGCACCTTCATATGAAAATATATGCAAAATATAAAGAAAAATTAAAGATTAGGAATAGTGAGAAGTGAAAATGTCTAAGAGTTTATTAATATGATGATTGCTAAAAGGCAAGTTGAATTTTGTAACTTAAATGGGCTGATGGAAGTCTGAGAGAGGAATAAGATTCAGAAGAGCCATTTCAGTTAAGAGCATTAGTAGGAATGTTTAAGTGTAAATTAGTGGAGCAGAAGTTAGTTAGGAGCAATGTCAATAGTGTACCAGAAAGTGTCCTGTCATTAGAGGAATGAAAGAAATAAAAGCACACCACTTGTCTCTTTCATGTAAACACATGTGTTCAATATTCTACTGTTCACATACACACAGACTCCACAGTGCTTTCATAGAAGCCAGATGACAAATACAGAATATTCGTTTCCTTCTGACATATGGGTCTTGTGGATCAAACTAGGTCTTTAGCCTTGGTTGCAATTGCCTTTATTGTCTGAGGCAACTCCTTAGCTCTCATATGTTTTTATTCCTTTTATTTATTTGTCAGGATAATTTGCATGTGTGTCTAAGGATCTGACTCAGATGGTCTTGTCTGTCTATTCTTAAAGCATTAAGCATACATAGATTTGCCTGTTATCCCAGGACTTAATGCAGTCCAGTATAACTTTTATTCAGTTCCACAGTTTATAACCATGTAGATTGCTTCTAGTTTTTATTATTTGTGCTCATATACATGTGTCTTGGTCATGTGGACATAGAAATATCCTCAATGTTTTCAGAATCAAGCTGTTTTAAAATTATTGCTTATAACAATTTTGTTATTACCTTCTGTTCTATAGGTCATTGTGTAGATACTTAAACATTTTTCAAGAGGAGGAGTTCCATTTCTGTGTTAATTAAAAGCAGTGATACTTATTTCTGGTGTGTGGTAACATAACTGTACCACATTTACTTCTCATTCTGCTCATAAAATCTAAGATCTCTTCTTGGACATTGTGCATTTTAATGTTTGGTAATTACATACTTAGAGCAATACAGTACATGTACATATAATACATTAATAGCAGTTTTTTATTTTTACCTTACTAGGCTCTTGATACTATTTTTAGAGGTACATTTTGTTGTATTTTTATGATAAAGTGTAAGCAAATTGTAAAAAGTAGTGATTATGCAGTGATATCAATATCAGAGTATATACCTTTATACTTATATTTAAATTTTTTTAACAGAGTATTTACCTGGATCATGAGGGTGAAAACAGACTATTTGAACTAAGAATAAAATACAATTCTGGATTTTAGTCTGTCCTTGAGGATAGTTAGAGGACTTGGAAGGGTAGATATATATTATCCATTGGACTATGCATTGTGAGTTCCAGGCCAGCTGGAGATTTCTAATGAGGTCCTGTCTCAAACAACAAAGCAAAATTATATTCAACTATACTTATGAAAGTGTGTGTGTGTGTGTGTGTGTGTGTGTGTGTGTGTGTGTGTGTGTGTAGCACAAGCCTTCCTCAAACTGACAGTAGTCTACCTACCTCTGTCTCTGTTGTGTTACTATTACAGGCTAGTAGTCCCATTTCTGGCTCAAGTTGGCTCTTCTAAAACTATTAGTGAGATTTGAAAATGTTCAGACAAAAATAGCAGTTCTGTGGAAAAGTGAAAGAATTAGAGAAACAGTCCCATGCTAGATGTTTGTAGAGACCTCTGCTGAGGTTAAGTTGGGATCTTTCAGTGACTTTGGAAAAGGAATTCAGGATGAGTTAATACAGATCAGAATTGGAATTTTATTTTGAGATGGGGTCTCTATGTATTTCTACCTGTCCTTGAACTCAGAATGTAGACAAGGTTAGCCTTAAACTCCCAGAATTCTACCTGCCTCTGCCTCTCAAGTATTGGAATAAAAGATGTGTGCCATATCAACTTGGAATAGTATTATTTATTTACTTAGACTGTTTGTATATGTTTTCTCATTTATATATGGAATGGTGTGCATGTGTATTATCATATGGGTGTAAAAGTTAGAGTAAAACTTTAGGTGTTGGTCCTTTTCCCTCAGCATGTTTGAGAAAGGGTCGCTAGTATACTGTCATGTGAAAATAGGATTGTAGGATTTCTTCTCTCTGCCTTTTATTTTGCCTTGAAAGCATGGGATTATAGGCCTGAACAGTTGCAACTGGCTTTATAGTGCAGAAGTAAAGGGATAGTTGCAAGGTGAGTACTTGATTTGTTAAGACATTTTCTCAGCCCTAAAATTTATTAAGTAGAGATTTTTGGAGTGAGTTTGTTTTGAATCACAGTCTCACTGTCTAACCATGTCTGGCCTGGAACTCACTATATAGTAGATAGGCTAGGCCTGGAACTTGAAGAAATCCACCTGCCTCTGCCTCATGTGACCACAACTGGCTAATAAGAGATGTTTTTCATGGATTTCACACAGATATTAGTAGAAAGAAAGGACTTTGGAAACATGTGGTCTTGTGAAGGAGAGCTACACTTAAGAATTGATACAAAGTCATATTAGCATTTTATTAATTCAATTCAAGTGACAGATCTTTACAGTGATAAAGGACATTATCCCACAGCATCTCCACTTTTTTGTCTAATTAAAAAGGAAGGTTTTAGCATTACTATAATAAAATAAAAACAGTTATTAAGTAAGAACTACAGTAACAATATCTAATCCATTTGCATTGACAAAATTAGAGAAAGTATCGATCTTATCTTGGTGAGTCTAAAGTTTTGTATCTAATTTACTTTCTAATATAACTGAGGAAAACTATAACTATTTAGTTTTCAAGTCCATCAAAGAACTCAAAAGGATGTAATATTATATAAGTAAACAGGAAGTGCATTGTAAACATTTTCCAAAAATCTAGAAATGACAGAGACATCTGGCTGCCTAGACAGTCATCCAAAGTCCCTCAGCAATGTTGGGGCATCCATCTTCAATCTACAGGCCTAGAGTCTCTGGCATACTTTTCAGTGAAGCAGGAAATTTCAAGGACTGTTCTGCCTAATGGCAAAGTTCATCAGTTGCTTTCTTTTGTGTACTGCAGAATGTCTGGCAGTTTCTTCTGTAAAGCAGGAACCTGAAGGACTATCTCACCTTGATTTGGCAAAGTTCATTGGTCACTTTCCTATGGGTCCTGCATGTCTAGTTTATATAATGTACTATCAAGCATTCCAGGCAAGGGCCATTTCTTGCCCAAATAGCCAGTTTTGCCAAGAAGAAGATAAACTGCATATGGAGTGTCTTCAATGCCCATCTTCCTTTTTGAATTAAATTGGTGCTGCCAGGAGCAGATGTGTTTTACTGTCCGGAAAAGTCTAAGTTCTTAAAATATTTTAAATGCCATATTCTGTAGGTCTTTGAAGTGTTTG